TTTTACAGCACAACAAAAACAATTTTTTTTAAAAAGCATTGAAATATCAAACTAGTCCTTAGTCTATTAGCTCTAAATCCCTTTCTTTTAACTAGACGAAGGGGAAGACAAAATTAAATTATTTGCATATATAGCTAGAGATAACTCCACTCTCTAAATCCTCCTCGCCCACAATCCTACAAATCAAGTTATATATTGTTTTCTCTCTTGGTTGCATGGTAATTTTATTCATTCGAGTTCCGACAAAATTTTAATGAAGCATTCGCTTGTGCATCATATTCTTATGTTTACAATTCCATTTTCCCTCTTTAACAAATATCGTCTTACCTTCAACATAATTGACCCTAAAAAGACTTCTGGATAATTGAAATTGAAGTCCATTTTCATCTGTCGGGGCGTAAGTCCGTTTCTTACAAATTAATTGGATAATGAAGTAAAATTAAAATAAGTTCTTTGAACTGACATAATGAGGTAAAATTAAAATAATATACAACGTAGAGCAATTTTCGAGTACTTATTAATTACTTATGTCAAATTCTTAAAAGATTATTGATCAACAGTTGTTAGGGTCACGTCACCACATCGCCGAAATTTCTTTCCAAGCTCAGAGCTACCCTAAAAAAGCCACTTGGGCAAATAAGCCATAAAGTTCCAACAAAACGTCTCCAACCAAGGGTCAAAGAGTCATAAGGCTCATTTTAGCCCTGTCATATAGAGCCAAACATAATTTTTTATTTAAAAACTACAACTTAAATTTAAAAACTACAAATTAAATTCAACATTAACTTAAATTTAAAAACTACAACAACTTAAATTTAATATCTATAATCAACATCATCTTCATCATCCGCCATTATAGAAGTATAGTAGGTAAACAACTGCCGCCGAGTCATAATTTCATTTTTTTCCCCCTATCAAAATAGGCCTTACTCATTGGAGTGTAATTCGAAGTGTTCATTTTCATATTCTTATCATCCATCTTTTCCTGTATTTGTTTGGCCCGTTCTTCATGCCTACACTTCCTTTCTTCCGCCTCAAGGGCATTTTGATCCACCATTAATCGCAATGAGACCACCACTTCATGTTGAGCGGCGTAATCATCATTTGCCTTGCCATTTTCCTTCAACCTTCGCGCCTTGTTTCGTCCCATAGCCCTAGGTATGGAACCTTCACCTGAAGATGGATTTTCTACCCTTGTTTGTTGAATGGTAGGAGATCCATCTTCATCCATATCTGCAACTAAGGATGCAGTTCCAAACACCGGCGAAAGAGCTCTATGTTGAGGTGGATCTTCAAATAACACCCACCCTTTACAAATTTCCCAACAACTGTGAAACTGAAAGGGTTTCGTGCTGCTCTCCATATACAATTCCTCCGCTTGGCGTACCTAGAAAATATAATTACAAAAATTAGAGAAAATTAATTTATGAAATTAAATGTAATATAATTAAATATTTAAAATAAATTGTGAAAACATTTACTTCCCATCTTGAATAACAACTCTCGTGGTTTCAGATATTCAGTGAAGTGGTGCCTTCATAGAACTCGAAGTATTTTTTGGATACATGAGTCCAAACATTGTCATTTGTTTGAAAATTCCCCCTTACACTATCTTATGACAACCATCTATAAGCCTTGCAAAGAGCTTCATCTTCTTTTCGGTTCCAAGCCCTACCTTTCATTGCAGACGAAGTCATTTGAAAATTATTGAAAAAATTGAAGGATAGATTTTTGAAAGAGGAAAGAAAATATGAGAATTGAAATGGAGTAGGAATGGTGAAAATTTTGTGAGGAATGGTGAATGAATGGTTTAGGTATTTATAGGAAAAAAAATTAGAATTTTTAAGAATTAAAAAAAAAAAATTAATCCAACGGTAACTGGCATCAGCTAGCTGTTGGATTCAAAATTTTCTTTAAGCAATCATGTCAGTTATATTCGACAGGATTGCTCTGATTTTCTAGTTAGCATGCGGCCAGCCCTTTGGCCCTTTCAGATTTCATGGGGCCCACAATCCCTCTAGCCTAGCACTCGGTTGAAGACGATTTTCGAGCTATTTTAGGCCCTCTGGCCCTCTGGACCCTTCAGTTGGAGATGACCTAATATTAGTGATAGCAACCCCTTATATTTATGGGAACTTTAACAGAAAAATTCCCGGTACTATTCACTTTAATAAAAAACCACATTTTTATATTAAAAAGTCAATTATGGTACTATTCACTTTATCCTTTATTTTGTTCTTATCATTAAAACTCAAAGTTTTCAAGTTCTTTTTATTAGTTTTTCTTATATTTATTTGAGTTTTATGAACAAGTAAGTCAATCGTAATATAAATATTGTTTTTGTGGTGGGAAGGGAAAGACATTTAAAACACCTTATCAAATGGAGGCAGAATTATCCTGTCTAAAGCTTCCGAATGGTAGGGTTTTTCTTTTTTGGCTTCAACGATCCCTATCACACTTTGCCTTTGCTTATTACTGGTGATAGCCTATCAAACACTACACGTACGTGTTGATTTTTAGTCAAAATCCAACTTTAAATTTGTTGGCTTTTCAAATAATCACACTACCAAAGCCTCAAAAGCTGCCTGCTCTTTGTATTATTTATCGATATTTATTTGGTTTTTAATTAAGATGGTTTCTGATATTAACTCTTTATTGTGATCTCTGATAATAAAAATCAATAAAATTAGTCTATGAATTAATCCATTGTAAATTATTTTGTTATTTTTATGAAAAAGCTGTCAATATCCTCGTTAAGTGGAGGAGTTAGTTTGATAAAAGTACCCTCAAAAGATGGTCGTATGGTCATTTAGGTGACAATTTAACAAAGATATTGACAGATTTTCACGAAATGACCAAAATGATTTGCAGTGGACAAACTCAATACCGTTTATATCGATTTTTATTTGTCAAACAAAAGTGAAAGTGAGGAGTTATATCACTCTCAAATACCATTTTGAATATTAAAAAAAAATAAAAAAAAATCAAAAAAAAAAAACCATTACCAATTTGTTATTGAGCTTTTGCTTTTTGAACCCACCACCAAAAAAGATTGGGTCCAGATTTAAATTATATGAGAATTAGATATGAATAAAACTCCAAAATCATGAGCGAACTATAAATCTTTTCAACTAAAATTTCAAGAAAGTCAAGATTCATGTTCGGTGGCTGCCAAAAACTAGCCAAATTATATTCCAGAAGTAACTACTGAGCTTGGAATTCACACAAAGGTCACACCAAATATTAACAATTAACAAATACTGAAACATTTGGCTCTTCTCAGAAATGGAAAATAAGAATTTATTCTTCTTTATTTTTGTTTATTCTCATAAAGCTTCTAAAAGATTTGGTTCGTATAGTTCTTTTTCTACAAAAAGAATTCTTATCCATTCAAACTTAAAGAGCAAAGTAGCGAATACATTAGTTTGACTATCTACCTTAACCAATATCAGTCATTGTTAAGTTTAATTTATGAAAGGGGTTTGCTAACAATTCTCACATGAACTTTCTTGTTTCATTTTCTCAGCTTTTTTTATTTTATTTTTGTTTTATCATGCAATGTTGTTTGGTGATAAACAAAAACTCTCTAATTTCTAAGTCGCATTTTTTAAAGATTAATCATGCAAAAAACCAATTAAATTATAAATCTCATCGTTTGATTAACGTTGTCAAAATTTCAGTGTTTAAATAAACATGATTCATCTGTCATAGATAATGGTTAGATAATTAAAGGCGTTCATATTTAATTAGTTAACTTTTGCATAAATAATCTTTAAAAGTTGATCAAATAATCACCATGCAACAATGCAACAAAATAAAAGGGAGAACTGATAAAGTTAAATAAGAATATCTAAATATTCGCAAATAACCCGAAAATAAGAATATCCAAATGTGACTCTGCCCCTCTCCCTCCCTCCTGCCTCATCCAGCCCTCATTCTCTCTAAAAAGCTCTCACCCTTCCGTGCTCCGCCCTCAATCATCTCCGTCGGCTGGCGGTTTCAGAGTCGGTGGCATTAATTTCCAACGTTCTTCGCCACTTCTCCGTCGTTTATCGTCGGTTTTTTATGCCTTAATTTCCTTAGTTTTCCACATTTCCTATCTTCTTGTCGTCCCTTTTGTGTTGCGATGCCTTGATCAAATTCACCACTCAGTTGTTTTCTCCAATGTACTTGCATTGGTGGTTGTTGTCAAGACGTTGGTGGCGGCAACAAATGTTCTTTGCGTTAGAATGATGAAATTAGAGAGTTTCCTTTATTTTTCTCTTTTTGCTTATTGAACGAGACCTTTATGTATTCTATTCTCCCAATGTGTTCTGGGTTGTTTGCCTTCCTCTATATTGGTCCCATTATAACCTTTGCTTCTCTTTAATGAATGTTACTTTTAAAATAACATATATAAAAAAATCATATTCGAACTTAATTGTATATTTTTGCTCGCTATCATAAACAATGGTGATATTTACAAGTTACAACCTTCTTTTTTAGTGTTGAATGAATTTAATTTTTAAAATTTGTAAAGTAAATAGACACATATCAAATTTTAATTGTATTCAATAACGATCACAATGTTATTTCTGAGTCGAACCACCTAAAATTTAGAAGAAAAAAAAGCATTAGATTTGGAAGAAAAAAATAACCTCCATCGCAACTCCTAATTTGGCTGCTGGAAATCGGAAGAAACTCACTTCACCGCTCTCTCATTCTCAACAGCCACCGAGTGGTCTTTAATTTACTCTCCACTTTCCGGTTAATCCATATAAAAGCCCCAACGCAAAAATTCCACCCACTACAATACAACAACAAATAATACAAAACAAATCTCTCTCTCTCTCTCTCTCTCTCTCTCTCTCTCAGAGAGAAGCTTAAAGCCAGATATTCTAATATTTTTTTTACAGAAGTGACTACTGAGTAGAAGGAAGGCACCACTGCCTTTTGGCATTTCGTGTTTTTGTTCTCCATTTTCTGGTTGTTCATCTGCTGTCTACATTTCCCTCTTAAATCTGTAAACTATTATTTTATCAAAAGAAACAATCTTTTTCTCTCGCCGTGCAGGTTTATCACAAACCAATTTCGTGTTCCTGTAACGCTCCTTTTGTTTTCAGTTTTTCCGAAAGCCTTTTCTGGGAAGGCGTTTTCTGCAGAAACTTTGTTTTTCTGCTGAGTTTTTCTTCTGTTTTTTGTGCGTTTCTTTGTCAGAGATTCAGAAAGTCGCTGAGTAAATAAGTTAAACAATCCATTTCATCTTTTTGCAATTTAATGAACACCAAAAGAATGTGACTTTTCACTGCATATAACTTGGGGAGGCTGTTTTTGCTAAATGGTTTTCGTTTTCTCTCTTCAATCTGAAGCAAAAAATGGCTCTGCTCGATCACTGAGTCCACCCGCCATGGATCAGGAAACTGGGGTTTGTCAGAACCATATAAAGGTGCAGTATTTTTCTTTGATTTCATACTTTTTCTTCGCAATGATGAAAACCCAATTGAGTTTTGTGATCAAATTGCTGCTTTCTTGTGTTGCAGAAACAATCATGGAGGACAATTCTGACTCTGGCTTACCAGAGCCTCGGCGTCGTCTATGGCGATTTGAGCACTTCGCCTCTGTACGTTTACAAAAGCACATTTGCTGAAGATATCGAGTACTCAGAGACCAACGAAGAAATTTTCGGCGTCTTGTCCTTCGTATTCTGGACTCTCACCCTCATCCCCCTTCTCAAGTACGTGTTTATTGTGCTCAAAGCAGACGACAATGGCGAAGGAGGAACATTCGCCTTGTACTCGCTGCTGTGTCGACACGCCCGAGTCAGCTCGCTGCCCAACAGCCAGTCTGCCGACGAGGAGCTCTCCGATTACAAGAAGGAAAAAGCCGGGACGGCGCTGCAGTCGAGCTTCGGGTCGAGGTTGAAGTCGACTCTGGAGAGGCACAAGGTGCTGCAGAGATTTTTGCTTGTTCTTGCTTTGATTGGAACTTGCATGGTGATTGGTGACGGTGTTCTCACGCCGGCTATTTCTGGTAATTTTGGGTTTTAATTTGGAAAATTGGCCAAAATGATCTTTTTTCAAATACAAATTGCTAAAATGATCAGCTTTACAGAATGTCATCGATATCTGATCGCTGTAACGTCAATTGATATGTCGTGGATGTTTAATTTTGATCAATTCTACATTAGGATTTGACTTCTGATCATTTCTAGCCAGTTCCCCTTTTAGTTTATTGCTTTTGGGTTTTTTGGAATGAAAGTTGGAATTTTGTGTGTTTTTATTTAGAGGCTAACTGGAATTTTGCTTTAAATTGGTGCAGTTTTTTCTGCGGTTTCAGGGCTTGAGCTTTCCATGTCCGAAAAGCATCACAAATGTAAGAGAACTTATTATAGCACAATCACTTTTGGAGCTTAAGCAGTTTTTTGTGAGCTTCGATATAAGTAGAGATTTCTTATTTAGTGAACTTTTTTACTTCGGAGTTTTTGGAATCGAAGCCATAAATAGGTCCAGTTTTTTCCAACTAGTTTCGTCGGATTCATAAGAGTGAAATTGAATAACCGAGTTTTGCACCTTAATACACCAGCTGTTTTCCTCTTTCCGGAATTCCACGGTGCATCTCATCTTTTACCAATCATAATTTCCTTGTACTTCAAGTTAATTGTGCCTTATCCTTACTTTAGTTGTCTGGTATTGTTGATCCTTAACGTGATAAGGCTTTTTTTCCTTAATTGTCGGCCTCCATAAATCTCGTTGTGTAATTGAGTGGACAGTTTGATTTCACTCTGGTGTATAAAGATCAATGCTTTGCCTTATACTTCCTCCTGAAATTTTGATAATCTTTATGCAGATGTAGAAGTTCCAATTGCATGCGTCATTTTGATAGGCCTGTTTGCACTTCAACATTATGGAACTCACAGGGTCGGGTTCTTGTTTGCTCCTATAGTTCTGATATGGCTTCTATGCATCAGTGCGATCGGTGTTTATAATATACTTCACTTCAATCCGAGTGTGTACAAAGCACTTTCTCCATACTATATGTACAAATTTTTAAAGAAAACTCAGAAAGGGGGCTGGATGTCCCTTGGCGGAATTCTGTTGTGTATAACAGGTAAGTAAGCATGTATAGGATTGACTAACGTATATATTTCCTCGGAAGCAAAGTGGTTTACCTGTTTCTCTAATGCACAACTTAACTTTTCCAGGTTCAGAAGCCATGTTTGCTGATCTTGGACACTTTACACAATTGTCCATTCAGGTATATTATTTTTGCACGGCTTGTTATACTATCCGAAAAGAGTTGATATGGCAGTATTGATAATGATTGTATAAATGTGGTTCGGCACTTCAATAGTAAAACTTTAGCACACAGTCCGCACTTATTCAGCCTGGTACAATTCGCAAAATGATTACTTTCCTGATAAATATTCACGTTTTTGTAGATTGCATTCACCTCTTTGGTTTATCCAGCTTTGGTTCTAGCATATATGGGACAAGCTGCCTATATATCTTCACATCACAATGTTGGGAAAAATTCTCAGATTGGATTTTACCCATCTGTACCAGGTAGACACCTTCATTTGTTTAGCAGGAAGTTTCTAGATTTGAAAAATATGCAACTTCTTAGCTAATCTAGCAAACCCCGCCGCTCCTCAGAAAAATTGAGATGGCCCGTTCTGGTAATAGCTGTACTTGCTGCCGTAGTAGGAAGCCAAGCTATCATCACTGGAACTTTCTCAATCATCAAGCAATGTTCTGCCCTGGATTGCTTCCCAAGAGTCAAAATAGTCCATACATCATCCAAAATCCATGGTCAAGTTTATATCCCGGAAATCAATTGGATCTTGATGGTGTTGTGCTTGGCTGTTACTATTGGTTTTAGAGACACAAAGCGCATGGGTAATGCTTCAGGTATGACATCGTTTACAAATTTGAATGTTTGATATTCCATTTTAGAAATTAGTGAACCCTAAACCCTAATACTTCTGCATCTATCGGCTGGATTTTAACTTTTAGCTATCCCTATATGTTGATGCTTTCGTGTGGAAGTTACTTAACCTAAAGCTTCATGTCGAACAGGTTTTGCAGTTATCTCAGTGATGCTGGTCACCACGTGCTTAATGTCCCTAGTTATTGTCCTATGCTGGCAGCAGAGTGTCTTTGTTGCAATTGGCTTTGTGGTCTTTTTCGGCACAATTGAAGCTCTTTACTTCTCAGCTTCTCTTGTAAAGTTTCCTGAAGGAGCCTGGGTTCCCGTTGCTCTTGCTCTCTGTTTTTTCTTCGTCATGTACGTTTGGCACTACGGCACAATTAAAAAGTACGAGTTTGAAGTCCAAAACAAGGTCTCCATTAACTGGCTGCTTAGCCTTGGTCCCAGCCTTGGCATTGTACGAGTCCGTGGGATTGGCCTCATTCACACCGATCTTGTATCTGGAATTCCGGCAATCTTCTCCCACTTTGTCACCAACCTTCCGGCCTTCCACCAGGTCCTAGTTTTCCTCTGCATCAAATCTGTCCCAGTCCCCCATGTTAGACCCGAGGAACGGTTTCTAGTGGGTCAAATTGGCCCAAAAGAGTATCGGCTCTATAGGTGCATTGTGAGATATGGATATCGCGATGTTCACAAAGATGACATGGAGTTTGAGAATGATCTTATGTGTAGCATAGCAGAGTTCATACGCTCAGGAGGCACTGAATTCACAGTTGCAGTTGAAGATGCGGGCAAGGAAGATGATAAAATGACGGTAGTTGGCACACGCTCCACTCATGCGGATGGGATTCAGATGAGCGAGGGCATCAACGTGGAAATGAGCCCATCAGGGCAGATAGAAATAAGATCTCCGCCAGTGGCTCAACGAAGGAAGAAGGTAAGATTCATTGTTCCGGAGAGTCCAAAGATCAACACGGGCACAAGGGAGGAACTGCAGGAGCTAATGGAAGCTCGGGAAGCTGGAATAGTATACATAGTTGGGAACACATACACGAATGCAAAGAAAGGATCTAGTTTCATGAGAAGGTTTGCAATCAACTACGGATATGAATTCTTGAGAAGGAATAGCAGGAAATCCAGTTATGCACTCAGTGTACCGCACGCGTCCGCGCTGGAGGTAGGGATGATTTACCATGTATGATTCGGATTACACGACGAATTTATAGGGCAAATTGTACATATTGTAACACGACAGGTTGCAAAGGATATCCAGAAATTCAGTCATTTTCTTGGTGCAGGGTCTTGGTCATCATCCTCCATTTTGGTTTTGTGACGTGAGAGGATGAACTGGTGCTTTTTTTGGGGTGTCACATAAAGAAATTGTTCAGCAGGCAATGTGAATAGTGTCATATATAATATAGATAACCCAAATTTCCCACACCATAATCTCTTTTGTTTTGTTCGAGTGAGATTCTAATCTAATTCGAACTAGTAAAATAGGGGTTCGAACTGGGGTGTAGAGTGGAGAGCATATTGTTCTAGTCAATTTGGCTACACCCAGATATGCGGGATGCTGAATTTAGGTGGTTGTGTTTCAACTGCAAAATCCGTTGCACAACTGTGTCTACATCTCTTTATTGCATGGCTAGTTAGTCTACAACTGATGACACTCAACAATGCATGTGTTGGGCCAATAATTGGGCCTGTTCACATTGCACTTTTAAGTGCCAGTTGCTGATGTTGGCTAGAAGCCCTTGGAAACTATTTTTTAAGGGTATTTCTTTTCAGTTGGGCCAAATAAAAACCAAAGCATTTGACATTGTAGGTGGGTCTGTGCTCTCTTTTGGAGAGTTGTATGGAAGTTTTTGAAGAATACAACACATCAAATATTGATAAAATCAAATATATATAATGTTAAAGGCAAGGGTAAGGGCAACAATGTTTTTCGTTTAGCCCATAAAAACCCTCTCCAACATTCCGCTCAAAAGCCCATACATCTCAAGTCCGTGCATGTGCCAGCGGTAGATTGACGTGAGCCACTATTTTATTATTTTTCTATCAGGCGTGTGTAATACAAGCCCGACGAAGGGAGAATGGCCAGCAATGGTGGCCCCGCTGCAGCAAAGCACCCGTTGCTTTTCAACGGCATGGACACGTGGCGAATGCAAAGCCGTTGGATTTCCTAACGTCCCCGACCTTTTAACTCGTTTGTTTAAACATGTCCCTCAACATGGAAAGATTTTTCAATATGCCCGTCACATAGGATGGTACACCACGTGTTGTTATATAAATTGTGGAATATACGTGTTAAAAAGTTGATAACTTAAAAAATAAAATTTCTCACCACTTACATAAAAATACATGATATATCATCCGTGTTCCTGTCATAACTAAAAACTTCTCCTCAACATGGTGAATCACCTTAACTTCCATCACGGGTTAATCACTCTGTCGGGATAAATGTTATTATTACATTTTTACACCATGCTTCAAATACACATTAAATACTTCACAGAAAAGAAAAATTAATCAAAGAAAATAGAAAAACCGTTGTGGATAAACCAATCACACAACTCACAACTCACGATAGACAATAAAAAAACAAGAGCCTGGACGCAACTTCTCTCTCTACCATCCACGCCAAGAGAATACAAATATTTTTTTTTTAAGTATAAAAAAATAGTATTTGTAAATTAATAAAATAAATAAAATAAAAAAAAAGGAAAAAGGGAATTATTTGTTTAAGACCTCGTTTGATAGTTCGGACTGTACTGACTATTTCTATCGGATAGGATAAATAGTCATGGGATAAAACTGACTAAATTAATCAGATGTTTGGTGCAGTATTGAACTAATGACCATATTATTTATATTGTGTTTAGTATTATACTAGGAAGAATTAAACTTAAAATAAAAAACTGAAATCATCTCTTTTGTTCCCCAAATCTCTCCGTCGCACCCCCCCAAACTCCCTCCCTCTTTCTCCCTTCTTCTTCTTCCCCGACTGATTTCCGACTCCGAAGCTCTGCAATTAACACCCACAGACTCAGTTTTCCTTCACTGCAATTTCAGTCAAGAACGTCTTTGTAAATACACCATGTTTCTTTGCAAGACCTAGTTGCAAAAGAAGCCCAGAAACATATTAACTAAACCAAAATCCACAAACTACTAGAAGAATCATTGCAATCGATTCCCGTTCGTCAGAAAAACAAGAATAGAGGGAGGGTCAACGGTTTGACGCACGATTGGTGAATGTTTTTTTTTTATCTCCTCTTTGCTGCAGATTCAGATGGGGTACTTTGTAACATATAGAATTGCAATAAATACAACCCCACGATTGGTGAATTAGTGCTGCTATTTTGGATCAATGGTGATTTAGCCAATGGTGAAGAACAGAGGGAGGGGCAGAACCTAGGAAGAAGAAGAAAAATGAAAAAACGAACTGGGATTCAAACGAAGAAGAATTTGAGAAGATGAACTTGGGATTCAGACGAGAGAGCAAGAGTGCGTTTGGAGAGGAAGGAGAAAGCGAGAGATTTTAGCCCGAATAAATTGTACCGTGGTTTTGGACGGTATCAGCAAGCGGGTAAAGACAGTATAAAAAAAGGTGGGCTCGGATAATTTAATCCGGTGACTATTTAACTCAAACGGAAACCAAACATCGTATTCCATATTATTAGTATTATTTGGTGCCTTATATGGTGTGCCAAACAGGCCTAAGGGTTTTGGAATCCGATAGCGTGAAAGACACGTGTGGAACATTCAACATCGGGGAGGTAGACCTGGCCCGTGGGTCCCACGGCCCATTGTGGTTAGGAGAGAAGCTCCGGGCCCCCACTAAGCCGAACCCCGTTCTTTTAAACTCCCCACGAAACGCGGCGTTTGGATAAACCTGGGACCACGGAGACCTCCACTTGTTTGACTTAGAGATCACGTGAAACATGCCTGTGCTCCTTGTCGGTTCGGGGGAGGTTGGCCGACGTGGACGGCTGCCTTCGGATGGTGGTGGCCGCGGGTCCCGCGCGGGGTTAGGGCGTTATGGTGGCCCCAGCTGGGGATAGTTTTTTAGTGCTCCACGTGTCGATGGGTCCGTACTCGGGCAATGAGGGGGGGAATTGGAGGAAACCTTGTCCGCTTGATTTTAGGAAAATAATTATTTTCAAATCTCTTCCATCAAGTTCATCAAATATACTCATTTAAAATTTTAAAATTTGATTCAACGATCACAAACAGGAAATTCATTTAAAAGTTATAATAACCTTAACCATTTAATCAAATTTCAAAGACCCAGATGATTGAAAGAAACCCTAGACTTGGTAGAAGGGATCCTATCATAGAAGGGATCCAGATAGGATCCCTTCCCTTCCCTGATTTTGTCCACTTTTGATTTTGAACAACGGGGCTAGGCCACTAAAACAACAGCACCTCGTCTTGAGTACAATTACATGCATGCGATTGTTTTTGGGGGTAATTTTACCAAAAGTAGTTAAAATTGTGTGAAGCGACGTCCGAAACGATATTCTAGAACATTTTCTTTTCCAAAATTACCCTGAAAGGGAAGTATTTGGTAGCCTTTTAAGACTCTAGAATTTGATGATGTGTTGCAATTACAGGTAAAGATCGGGCGTCTTTATCTATCTATATCATTCATTCTATTACGTGTTTTTCATGTAAGAAACTTTTGTAATTAAAAAGCAAAATGAATCTGAGTACAGAGAGAAAAATATTATTAATATCAAAAGTGATATAACACGCGTGCCCATTCCCAAATCATCATTTTAAACAAGTTTCTAAATTTTAGCTTATGTTATTCAACGGTACTGTATGTTTGTCCATACAAAAATACAAGCGCATGCGCATCAGTCCTTTTCTATCTTCTAAATGCAAACATAAAAATAAATGAATAAATAAATAAAACATTTATTGCTGTATATATAACATAAAACTAATTATATTAGAAAGACAATAATTCAAATATTGTCAGTGCGATTAGCATCTCAACGGCAGTATGTAATTACTTATTATATGAATATTTATGGTATCTCATTGCATGCAAAATCTCCCATGTTATGATGTTTACTTTAAATTAAAAAAATGATACATAATCTTTCCTTTTTTTTTTTTTTTTTTTTGGTTGTTAAAGGATAGACTTTACTAAATTATAATTGGAATATTTACATCTGATGCGAGAATATTAAAAACAAATTATGGGTCAAGAGCATTCCATAAGAAAGAACCATCATGCAAGCCACCATGTGAAATCACTGCATGCGTAACAATGTTGCACTCCACTGAATAAACAAAAACTTCATCTCCCCTGGTTGAGAAACTAAGGTATTAATATCGAATAAAAACAATCCAAGGTATCATCTTAGGTAACTTCCCTATTGAGCATCTGAATTAGAGATTGAGGGAATAAAATGTCAATACTTTGCATACAATCAATTAAAAAAAAAAAAAAAAACCCTATAAAAAAGGCAATATTGATAAAAAGTGAAAAGGGTTATGGTAATTTGGTAAAAGAGTGGATCAAGTGTCCCATTTAAACTTATCCTAAATGCCAGCTATGAAAGTGGCGCGCATCGGGTCACGCTCGCCGAGTCAGGCTTTTATCGAGCTGGCCCAGCCTCACATAAATTTTCAAGCATGTCGAAAAAAAGGCTCGTCATACAAACTATTATAATATAAATAGTTAAAAAAAAAATAATCATATTAAATTATTTATATTATGATATTTGATATATCAGCCGCTCATAGGCGGATCCATTATGGAGCAAGTGGGTTTAGTTGACCTACGAATTTTGATGATCTCTATAGATGACTTGAGTGTTATCTTTTGAATGTTAGAGTTGTCTTTCACGCATGACATCCAACTGTTTGATAAATTGTCTCAAACAGGAGTTCTCGTTCTCAATATTTTTTTTTTTTTTTTTAAATCAACTTAAGCATTATATTCTTGATAAGCGTTTAAATAGTGAATTTTCTTAATTGAAAGAAATCGGTAGTCTTGCAAAAACAATGGTTGATACAGGGAGGAATAGAGTATATTATGTGTATTGCTAATATATTGACTTTGATTCTACTGATTGCTACTGCTTCAGCAAAGATAGCATTTTTCGCTATGAACATTGTGAAAATTCATTGTAACCGAATGAGAAATCAATGGTTGAGTGATATTATGATGATTTATATTGAGAGCAATGTTTTTTCTTCCATTGAAAATGAAGTTATAATGCTGCATTTTCAAAATATGAAAAACGCATTGTGGCCAATTGTAATTTGTA